AAAAAAGAACAAAGTTAATATAAAAGTAGAAACTATTCAGGAACAAGTATGCACAAAACAATTCATTTTCTGACAGCAGGTCATAAAATTATGGTATATATATATATATATATATATATTGTACCTCTTTGCCATTGATTGTTGCAAGTCCCCAATGTGCTAATCGGAATATAGCATACATTTTCCAATCCTTAGATATAACAGGATTGCCTGTATCTATCTGTATACTGGTCAATCCCTGTACCTCGGCTAAAGCATTGAATTGACCAAGAAGACTGATATTAGTTTCTTTAAAGATGAAATGTTCCGCGTGAGGAAATTTGTTTTTTAATTTGCTTAAAATTTTTGCCACATCGTTAAATTGTACATAATTAAATTTTACAACATTGACATCCTGAGCCTTTGACATGTCCCAAGTCTTATCTATAAAGCGTAAAGCACCTTGACCATAAATGTTCAAGCATCGACCGACAATTTCTATTAAGTAATCCCCACCTAGAAAAATATCCTACCTAGTATTACATTTTAAACAAATATATATTTTTGAGAAAAATTGTCTTAACCTACCCTGTTCCCTCTCTTTAGGTGGTACTTGTTGTGGTGGTGGACTCGGCGGAGCAAGGGCTCTAAATTTCGCTCTAGCTGTCGCAGCTCTATTGCTTTTGTAATATACTACTTTTTTTGCTTGAGCACTTTTAATTCTACTACTTTTATCTTTATCGAATTCGTGAGATTTGTGAACTGCATTCTTAGGAATCGATGAAGTGCTAGAATCGCTTAGCAATGACTTACAACTATCTAAACTACTAGTCTTTGAACTTAAGGAGCAATATCCAGAAGAACTTATGGTTGATTTCGATTGGCAATCGCTCTGCCCATCTTGATTATTAAATACTTTTATATTTTGAACCAATCTGTTATTTAAATTTTTATTTTCATTTATTGTATTGCATTTAAAAGATTTCTGATTTGTCTTATCATGTACATGATTTTCATTATCTTCATCATTGAAATTTTCTGCAGTAACCAAAGACACATCTTTTGCTATAGTGAGCTTTTTACAAATAGTAGATTTGTCATAATCTATAGACGAGCCACAATTATTTGGAGTAAACAGGTGACTTCTTAAACCACTTTTTAAACTTTCGTGACTTTCTGAACTGTCCGATTCGCTATCCGATGTGTTCCCAATGTCACCGAGCATTTTCGTTTTACGTATATTTTCTTTATCATCCTTAGACAATCTATCCTCGAATTTATTACTAGTTAAGCTATCTACTATCGAACCTAATATGGGTGGAAGTTTAAATTCCAAAGGATATGATTTAGATGTATCCTCTAATTTAAACAAGTTATCGCTGGAATTGCTTCTTTTTTTTATATGTATTTTTTTTGCTTCCACATTTTCGTTTATCGATGTTAGACTACCAAAGCCTTTTATTTTAGCTTTATCTAAACTCTTTGGATTTACAGTATGAAATTTATTAGAGTTTTGCATATGTAGTACATTAACATTGTTGCTTGTATTATTGCTTGCCGTTTTATTGGAATTATCAAGAGAACCTTTGGTTCTAGATCTGAGAAGTTCCCAATTTATTTTAGCATTTGATATCACTTCTTCTCTACGTACGTTCATGCAAACCTGTGCACTAAGATCAAGAAATGCTGATTCAGACTGCTCCTTAGAGAATCTCCAAGCCATCGCTGTTCTCCGAATTTGTTCGCTAATTTGCATTGTTGATAAAAGTTGTAAATTTGGCAAATATGATACAAGAAAAGAGATATAATCAGTATTTAAAGTTACTGGATTGCCATCAATGGTTATTTCTTTAATTTGCAAAGCTTTTGCAAGGCTACTCATATCTTCGATTCTGAAACATTAAAACAATCTAGTATTATACATATACAATTGTAGAAATAAAATATCTAAATATGTCTCTGCGATTTAAAAAAAAAAATATGTATAGAATATAATTTAGATAATTTTTTCGGGAGAATTCATTTTATATTTTTAATGTTTTTTTTTTTTTTTAATTTAGTTGTATTGTGCAAAAAACGGGACAAGTTGGAAGACCAATGTGGAAATAAAGACTTTCTCGTACAATATATATTAAATTTATATATATAAATGTTTGAGACTAATATACAAAAATAAAATTTATAAATAAATTATATAAATATAACAAAGTAAAACTAAATTGAATAAAGCTTTTGCTACTAATTAAATACATAATTATCTTTAAAATTACTTACTTATGAATATCATTGTTGCTCAAATATAATTTCTGTAATTGTGGTGTTTGACCAAATCCTAATAATTTTTTTAATTTATTCCGCCGTAGATTCAGCTCTTTCAATGCAATTAAGCCTTGAAAATCATTGCAACCTATGGTTTTAATATTATTCCCCGCTAAATTCAGTACTTTTAACAATAATAAATCCTCTAGGCCAGTTATTTGTTGGATTTGATTGCCATGCAAGTCTAAAACTTCTAGTTTAAAAAGTTGTTTTAAACCTTCAATTTTTCTGATTCTATTTTTCCCTATTAAAAGCACTCTTAGATTTTCTAAAAGCGCAAGATTGCATACTTTCTCAATTTGATTATCATATAAATCAAGAAATACGAGCTTTGTCAATTGAGAGAAATTAGAGCTCTCAATCTTAGTTAAAAGATTATGCTGAAGGGACATTAATCGCAATTTTGGCTCCCCAATCACATTAGGAAATGTTGTCAAACCTCGCCTATCGAGACATATTCTGTCAGGGTTCTTTTCTCTTTCGGCAGGAGTTCTCGATGCCACAATTGTTCTTGCTTCTCTTGTCCATTGTAATGTAACCACATCGCACCCTTCAGTTTCTCCATGTTCAATCTCAAATTGAGTTCCAGTAGAGCTATCAAACCCATAATTTTAGCCGTATAAGAATAAGAAAGCTTTAGATTTAATTGACATTAAATGAAATTGACTGCTTTTGTCCTTAATTACCTAAGTGAATTATAAGACCGTTTTGATAACTTGGGAGGTATTGGTGCACCTGGTAAAATTGGCAAAGCAGCTGCTATTGTCAAAAATTGATTATCCTCTGGAATGCTACCTCGAATAGTTGATTTCCCTTTCACATCAAATGATACTTTTCTCGTCTGTAGGAAATAAAGCTTTTATAGATAGATACAGTATATCATAATAGAAACAAACAGGTTGTAGTGATCCATCATATATGTTATATAATAGATAATCAGAAAAATATTTCCAAAAAGTTATGTTATCTGTATTTAATACAACTGTGTTCATTCAAAGTATTAGCTGTTTCGAATTATATATTTTGAAAGCACGATTCTCACCCGCGTTGTAATATTATTGCCCAATGGCATTACATAACCGAGCATAAAAATGTAATTAACCCATCAACGAAATGGTATATTTTATATATCTAATATTTAAAAGTATTTCACATGTTCGCGATTTAGTCTAATTGTAAGATTATTAATTACAAGTCATAGTTAAATCTCCTCGATCCAAAATGTCGATAGAAATAATATTTCTTATTTGTCATTGCGCATTCGTGTTTATAGGTTTATATTTATACATGCTGTTGTGGTCGTATAATAACAGCAGTGATGCCAGAATGCCCACGCTAGCAACACGCAACCGTAGTGGAGGGGATACGCACACAAGCGAAAACCGTGTATATGTAATGCGCAAATAACAGGCTAGTAAGACGATAAATCCTCTAGAAAATTTTTCAAGTTGTCATCTTTTTCGCGCTGTTATAGTTAGGGAAAAAGAGCTAGACGATGGCTCTCTAGGGAAATTTTAAAATTGTGATTTCAAGTTGTCATCTTTTTCGCGCTGTTATGGTTAGGGAAAAAGAGCTAGACGATGGCTCTCTAGGGAAATTTAAAAATTGCGATTTTAAGTTGTCATCTTTTTCTGCATGTGACTAGGGAAAAATATGTGCACGGTAGCTCCCTAAAATTTCGTAATCTGATATCTAACCTATATGTAGAGAGTGAAAACAATATTCAGAATGAATCTTTCCACAGTTTACCGGCTTTTTCATTTTTCAAGAAATTCTATAATACCGATTCAATATACAATACAAACTAAAAATTATGCTAAACCAGGTAAAACAATTGTCATCAATGTTTCAAAAAGACAGACAAAATTTATTATTTATTTGTAATTGTTATAATTGCATTAAATATTATATACTAAATTTAGATTACAAATATATAATTTACAATGATTCTTTCTTTTTTACAGTATTCCAGACAGGAATGAAAAAACTAAAAAAATCGGCTGCTGTAGAGAAAAAGTTATTGCCTGTGGAAACAGATATTAATAGGCTCTTGACTTATGTGTGTGGTACAAATATCCTTAAAGAAGGGGGAGAAGATGTCAAGATAAGGCCAGATTCTGAGTATCCTAGTTGGTTATGGACTATTAGAACTGGTCCTGCACCTTCTTTGGAAGAATTAGATCCAAATACAAAACAGTATTGGAGAAAGCTGCGAGTACTCGGATTAAAAAGAAATAATAAAGAAAGAGCAACTAAAAAATTTTAATGTATCATATAAATATGTATTATATATATATATAAATATAGTTTTAACAATATTAGATATTATTTTGTATTGTAAATTAATATAAAAGACACAATAAATGATAAATAAAAATAAGATTATATTACATATTGTCATCATTTGTTAAGGCTTATGAAAAAAAAAAATGGACTTGATAAAAATTGCAAACAAAGATTACATTACTATCATCACGAGGAAGTAGGAGACAAGATTACTATTTGAATGATTCATTTAAAAGATGAGTAAGAATGATAAGGGTTTTAAAAGCATAAGCATCTTAAATACGCTTGTAAGCTTATTCGCTCTAATCAGTGTCACGCCCCAAGGAATAAATTCGTCATTAATGATAAATTGGGCGGTGTCGTGTATATATATACCACTTAGATATATGATATATATCATAATTCCCATAGTTGTGTGAGCTTATTTGTTTCCTCTATTAAAGATCTCCAAGATATAACTATAAATATCAAGATTGCGAGGATATGAATCTATATATAAACGTGTGCAGAGCACAGATTATATATATTGTACTCGCATTAACATTATCTGTCAAATCGATATACTATCATTTAAAAGTGATATCGGAGGTACACCGGATGAAAAAAGAACCGCGTTTTGACATTCTAGCAATTGGTAATCAAGGTAATTAACTTCTACATAATTTTTATTATTTATGCTATTCATCCAAAGAATCATTGATATGTGATTCGATCAAAGATTCAAAATTTATTAACATTTAAATCTAAATCCTGTTAAAATTTATATCGCAAACTATATACATTTAGTTTACACACTTATATGAGTGCGTTTAAATAATGTCTTTTCGAAATTTTTCTTAATCTTATGTTTTAAAATTGTTATTTTATCTCAATTAAAAAGTGCGTCAATTATATTGTGCACTCTTATATTTGCGCCTTCAGTCGTGCGTATATTATTAATGTCACATCTGTTTATAATTGTTTTATATATCTTTTATTATTGTTTTTCATACATTGTTGCAAATGTCATGATCTGTATCTTCATTCGTATATAATTTATTGAATTATTACTCGATGATGTGAGATCGAGTGAGAACTTATGTATAATGGTATTCGATAATCAATATCTCGCACTTGTAAAATATTTGGATAACAGGGGTCTGTAACGATGTAATACAGATAAAAACAAAACGTTATGAAAAAACGATAAAAAGTAATGGAAACATTTGCTTTTCAGTTTAAATTAATAAGTATATGTTATGTAAGTAGAATTGTCAAAATTCTCTGCTGATTGAAATAAATCAAAAACGTTCTTCATTATTTGCTTATCGAATGTTATATAATGTCTATCCACAAAAAATAACACACATTGATCAATTATTATAATATGTATTATTTTACGAAATTTTAGAAATACATTCAAATTATTGATATATTGTATTACAAAACTATATATATATATATATAATATAAAAGTGTTGATCGAAAGATTAACGTTGCTGATCTCTTCGTTTTGTATAGAATTAAAAGATATATATTCGAGAAGAAGAAATAGAGAGAAATAAAGATATGTAAAATACATAAAGAAAAATACATATATAGAGATAATAATCAGCCTTATGCAAAGTACTTGACGAACGATACAGGTGTTCGGGTCAGATCTGTGGATTGATTTGTGGGATCAAGTGTTCAACAAAATTAAATATATAATGACGTTGTACCTGTATATGTTTTCGAAGGTTTTTGACGATAATAATATGTATGTATATACCTTTTCTTATGCGCTTGATTGAATTGTATTGACATTAATAATCGTGATTAAACAGACGAAAATCGCGCATTACTTTCGACAGAGCATATATATATCGTGTGTAAGAATGAAATTTTGGTACTACGTTTTTACGTACTATCGAAGGAATCGACCCTGGTTATGAGGTAAAAACAATAAATATATTGTAATGATCCATTTTTTCATATAAAAATCGGCAATTTTCTCGAAGAGTAAACTTGACGATTATAAGAGATAATTATAATAAATATTTCCTTAAATACATCCGAGAATATTTATGTTACAATATATATTCTTAAAAATTTCTCTCAAAAACATATAATATTATCTTACCGAAATTTACAATTTCCCAACGCTTAATTTGCAGATGAATCGTTGGATATTCATTTTCGCGGCTTTGGCCGCTTTGGCTTCGGCAGCCAATTCAAAAAGTAAGATCAATTAAAAGAAGATTTGATCCTCTTCCACGACGTTTATTAATAATACTTTTCTTATCCCTCAGAGAAGATCGTATGCTACTTCGGTAGCTGGTCCGTTTATCGACCTTCGGATGGCAAATTTGACATCTCTTACATTCCACCGCAGCTTTGCACTCATATGATCTATACTTTTGTCGGTATCACTTCGGACGGCGATATCAAAGTTTTGGACTCGTGGCAAGATCTAACCGAAAATTGGGGCAAGGGCGGCTTCCACAATTTTAACAAGCTTCGGGAACAGAGTCCGGGAACTAAAACGCTCATCGCCATCGGTGGATGGAACGAGGGATCCGCTAGGTACTCCGAGGTCGTCGGCGATCCGATTCGTCGCTCAAGATTTGTCAAGAATGCCGTTGAATTCGTAAAGAAATACAATTTTGATGGTTTCGACCTTGATTGGGAATATCCTAACCAGCGTGGTGGCAAGCCAGAGGATGTGCAGAATTTCGTACGTCTACTTGAGGAAATGAGACCTGAATTTGATAAACACGGGCTTCTTCTCAGCGCTGCCGTTGCCGCTGCCGAGCCTTCGGCTTCTCTATCCTATGATATCCCCAAATTGTCCAAATATTTAGATTTCATCAACATTATGGCATATGATCTTCATGGTGCTTGGGAGAAAACAACTGGTCTTAATGCTCCGCTTTATCCGCGCAAAGGCGAGTCTGGAAATGATCTTAAACTCAACGTTGTAAGTATCTCCTCTTTGCCCAGCTTATCGGACATTATAAATTATCGAATATTAAAATCGATAGGTGTGATGAATAAGCATTCTCAAAAAAGATATCTTTTTCTCATAGGATGCGTGCGTACGTTATTGGTTGAAGAGTGGTTGCGCGCCCGAGAAGCTGATTCTCGGTGTGGGATTCTATGGTAGGGCATTCACTCTCACCGACAAAAATCAGAACGGTCTTGGAGCTCCTGCCAAAGGACCTGGTACTGCTGGTCCGTATACTCGTGAGGCTGGAATGCTCGGCTACAATGAGATTTGCGACTTCTTGAAACAGGGTGGATGGACGGTTGTCCGCGATGCAGAGGATAGCACTCCATACGCTTTCAAGGGTGATCAATGGGTTGGCTATGACGATGTAATGTAAGTGATCTTTTCGTTAATTATTTTAGGTAATTTTTTCACAATGTATTTCCCTATAATTCAAGTAACGGGATTTCTCTCCGATTGATTTTTCCGATATATATATATATTCCATTGAACAGAATAATGTTCAATAGCAATGATACTGTGTGTGTGTGTATAATATAATTATTTCACACAGTTCCCTTAACCAGAAGATGGATTACGTCAATTCCTTGAATCTCGGTGGTGCGATGTTATGGAGTATCGAGACCGATGATTTCCGTGGCAAATGCGGTGAAAAGTATCCTCTACTGAAAACATTGAATGTCAAACTAAGAGGAGAAATTCCGATAGAACCGCCTAAACCGACGGAAGTGCCTAACAACACAAATTCGCCTAAGCCAACTGCACAACCGACACAACCACCAGCGACTGCTCCTCCCACAGGTAATTGCAAGAAACCTGGTTTTATCCGTGATGAAAAAGACTGCAGTGTATTCTACCAATGCGTGGATCAGAATGGCGCTTACCAAATAGTAAAATTCACTTGCCCAAATGGTCTAGCTTTCGATCCCAGCATCAACGCTTGCAACTTTAAAAATCTTGTTGATGGATGCAAATAATGATAAGAAACAGCTATCATGTATATGTAACGCTTCTGTCTATTATATGGTGAGCAAGGCCATATAATAAACAAATACGTATACGTGTACAATTTGTAATACTTATATAAATATAATCGTTAAATAAACATTTTTCATCCTTATTTTTTCTCGCGTTGTTTATAAATACCATATAAAAGAGAAGACATTATACTTCCATAATATATTATATATGTATGTTAGAATAATCATAACAATGCTAATTATTATTGCTATGCTAATTATTATTGCATAAAATAAAAAAAATATAATCACAACAAAAATAAACAAATTTATTTTAATATTGCAAACATCTTGCATTTAATACAACAAGTATATCGTGATAAATACATAAATATAAATTTTGAAATTAAATTCTTGGTATTTACAATACAATATGAATATATATATATTGCAGAATATCAGAAAAAAGAACAATTCTTCTATTATTATACATTAGCATTGTACATATTGCGGATCATCACATGATTCTGTTAGTGTGTTGAATATTAATCCTGTTTCACAATAGTATGCCATTGGTACACCTTGATCGTATTCGCAACGATAAAACTTGCCGCAGTTAAAAGGATCCCTCAAATAATGGATCCCTTGTTTCATGCAATTTGGCAAGAGAGGGACCGTTGGAATTGTTGGAAAAGCATGTAAAGCAGGATCTATGGGAGCCAGTTGATCTAGAGGTGACAATTCCTTAGAATTCAATTCGTGTACTTCTATGAAGTTTTGATTTGCTACATATGCTTGCGCAGAACATATCAAAACACAAAAGATACAATAAAATATGCGCCACATCTGTAACATATTTCAATAATAATTAGAATCGCAATAGCAAAAGTTAACTATCGCTATCTGATTTGATAGTTTGTGTTACAGAATATTCGAGAGAAATAAAGATCTCTATATAAAAAAATGTACTCACTTTATATGAATGTACAGAGAGTATTTATCTGATGTATATATATATATGTATGCGTATTTTTCATGCACACGTACACAGATACACTTTTTAGAAAAATTGTACACTAATTGTAAGAGATATAAGTATACCATACAAGGCTAATGTTCGCGATAAACTGATACTTTAATCTCGGAAAGCTCATATTTATATGCAAACATAATTATCTCGATAAAACGGAAAATTCAATTTTCTTCTAAATTTTGATGCGCAACGCATTACGTCATTTGCAGCGCAATACATAGAACTGTTTACTCTTATATTATGCTGAATAAACAAATCGTGCTTTTTATTTTCTAAGTAGATATTAATTTAATGACAGCATGACTGATAATTCTACGAAATATGATTTGTATTAAGGTCATTTCACTGACCTAGGCCAAGGCAAAGATATCTATGATCTATTTGATCGTTAGTTTAGAATATCACAATTTGCTTGTTTATGAGATTTCTTATTCACAGACAAAAATGATAATATCGAGATATATTATACATGCAACAAGCATAAGCTTTAATTAAACGAAAAATATTTAAAAACCAGCCAATCAAAAGTTTCTCAAAATTAGAACACACAATGTTAAAGATGACTCATACATTACTCTTGTAATCAAAAAATAAAATCTATATTTTTTAATATTAATATGATTACATACATATTAAGAAATCGTTGTTTGACCACAATCTACTCTACACAGAGCAAAAGAAATGAAAGAGAGAAGATGATAAGAATACAGTCATATTAATAGTGATAGAGAACAAAAAAATGACAATTTATTTAGTTGAAAGAAGATAATGAAAACTCTAGTACTATGTTACTTCTTACTACTGCTTTAATATTGTCAAGTGCCTTATAAGATGTCTCAAGTCTATTCTTTGATGCATTCTCATCCAAAGTCTATAGGAATAAGTATTAACACTTAGATCAGTATTATATATACTTGTATGAAAGATGAAAAGAAAAAAAGAGAACAAGTACAGAAAATAGTTAGAAATAGCAGTTCTCTATTGTAACAATCATACAAATTGAAAAAAAAAATATGGATTAAAAACATACCTATTTTTTATAATCTCCAATAAAATAAACTAAAATCAAATGATTAAATTTATAGCAAAAAGCTTCTGTTTATTCTTATCATTCATATGAATTGGGATACATCAGGGAATTGTGTAACGTAACTATATTTTCCTTTTGGCTCTTCAATTTTTGTATGATTTGATTCAACAGGTAATACATTCATTATATTTGTTGTAAGTTCCACAGGCCTAAGAGACCCAAAGAAATCTGTTACTGGCACTTTATCTGGATCTCTCCTGAATAAATCTCTTCTTACACCTACTGTCGATAAACAATAATCTCTTGGACATACTTTCAACTAAAAAAAAAAAGATAAAAATAATAAACCTTAAAGCAATGTGGTAAAAAAATTTGGATCTACTGTTAAAGCAAGATGCTTACAAATTCACCCAAAGTTTTAGAACTAGATGGTTCCACTTTTTCCAAAAAGTTTAATGCATAATAGGTGTACCGATCTATAATATAAACACCAATGGCAGGATCCACATGATGCTACAAGGATGGTTATATATGGATTAGAATAGATACTATTCTGACACAATTGTGTATAATTACAACAATATAACTTGTTACTTACAGAAAGTGAATCTTCCCCTACTAAACTAGAAGCAACTGCTAATATATTTGGAGAATAAAACTTTTCATACATTGAACTCGCTTGACAAGTGTCAACCACAAATAGAATTTCGTGATATCTTCGTTTTTGCCACATTTGTTCTAATGCATCTCCTAACTCTTGACTAGTGATTTCTTCAGAATCTTGAAACTTTAAAAATCCATTACCGCCATGACCAGTTAAATAAATTAAGATATTTGAACCTTCATCCGTTAACAGTTTCTTGGATCTTGGAGTTTCCTCCGCTAAACGACCAGTCAATAATCTTACAAAATTTTCTACTGTTACTTCGTAACCTCTATAGTCAACCTCTACATCATCGCCATAAACATTAATATGTTGTTTAATGTTGTTAAAAACAGTCGCTGGTCTAGGATTCCTAGGATTGCACGCCATATCATCGGCTATCATAAGAATGATTTGCGAATCTGGTATTCCCAAACGTTTAACACTTCGATAAATAGATAAAACATTCGCGACGTGTCGATAGTTAAACCAGAAACGCGATGTGTCGACCAAAACTGCCCAATTATTGGAATGTTCAGTTTTCGCAAAGTTTTCCGGTACCTTTAAATTTAATAAATAATGTTAACGAGAAACAAATCAAATTCTGCTAATTTAATAAAAGAGATACATACCTCCCACGTGCGACACGATATTAGAAAAGAAATCAGTATCGTTGTATAAGATATTAAATACATTTCAATGTATTTATGAAATCTGTATACAATGTGAGGTTATTTTTCGATCGTATAAATTATAGCAACTGTCATAGATTAGATATATCGCATCATCTAAAAGACTTTTATTCTTTCACACACGTATTTTAAATATCATACTTGACGGATGTTCTGTCAAACTGGAGAGACAAAACCGAACGTAATCAAACGCGGAGAAATCTAACCTAAACTAACACTAAAGTAATACAAGAACACATAACCTATTCCACAAACGTCACAACTACTGGACGAGCGCGAAACTACTAACAAACTAGTAAACATTTCAATTTTTCATTCCATTACGGAAGATTCACATTACGTCCGACATCTGACGTTGATATCCAATAGAAAATGTGGATTTTAATCGACGACATTTTTATCCCTATAAAAAACGCTCTCCTATTGGATCGTACGTTATAAACTGTCTGAAGCATCCATTAAGTCCGTATCAGACTACGTATTGAAGATTGAAATTTGACCAATCAGGATAAAAGGAACTAAAATTTCTTTGTCCTGATTGGTCAAATTTCAATCTCAATGCATAGTCTGATACGGGCTTTAGGGCCACGATGTGGTCCGATTTCGAGGTTCCGAGTTTATAGTAATTGTAGTACGTAAATCAAATATGGCTATCGCAAGGTATGTATATCGAATATACACTGCGAATATCGTATAATAATTTGTATCACTAATTATATTGACAGACGCGTCGCAGCATTTATCGTATAGTCGATTCGTCACTTTCGATAATATTAATAGATCGAGCGAGTAACGCGTGTATGATAACAGCGAGAATCGCGAGAAATTCCGATTAACCCTCGCGACAATCGAGATAGTATTAAGCGATAAATATTATTTTATTTATTATTTTGAAGGATGGTGGGAGGGAGATATCTCGGCAGCGGGAGCGTTTGTTGACGGACCGCTTTGTTGACGGTATTGATAAAAAATTCCTCGCTGAGTAGCTCTCGCTTATCATTAATATTATCGTGACCGTCGTGAAGGTTGGTTCGAAGTCTCTGCAATTTTCGCCGGTAGTGTCGTGTACGAACGAATTTTATTCACGCGATCTGTACGTAATACTATTGACAGTGACAAGTCAATTGACTGATGAAAATTGCAATGCGTTTATTAATAATTAGTGATAAAAGATATTCGTGTTCTACATTCGATATAGTCGAAATTAGCGCTCAAATAATTCGTACAGCCATGTTTGAATCGTGTAGTGAACTCGGAATATCGGAATCGGACCACAATGTCCAACGGAATCGAGAGTCGAGATGCTTCGTCGATTTCGCGTTCGTTTCCGGTTTGTTTCGCGCGAATATCGTGGCGTCGGGATGTTTCTGATATAATTGCGATTGAGCATCGTAAATATCGAAGGAACGTAATTAATTGATCGCGTGAATAATTCTGCGATTGCTACATTTATAATTATATTACGATATCGTAACGATATTACGGTAATATTACGATATTATGGTCATTAAAGTCGCTCGTCTTATATCAGAGTTGTAGATTTCCAATTTTAAATTAAAGAGAGTAAATATGCCTGTAAGTAACCGTGAATATCGGGAGTGCCGAAAAAAGTCGGGCGATCGTATTATGTGAAAATACGGGCGATCGCATTATGTGAAAATTCGGTATATCGCGTCGGTATTGCAGAAGTGTGACGTCACGTTTCGTCAAGTCGACTCTACGCGACTGTGGTACTCTGTAGCTGCCGGCAGCATTAAAGTAAGTATTAATGAAATCATCGAGAATGAAAAAAATATCGTACATTACATTTTATTACAACATTTATCTAATGTATTAAATGTTGCGTATAGTTATGATAGTTGTTTGTTTGACATTCTTTCAGGACAAATTGGCGGTTTACGAGATCACGGATAGGAAAACAAAGGAGGAGAAAAGGATGTTAACAAAGGAGAAAACGTAGGAACCACAGCGAAATAATCATCGAATAAGGTAAGTGGATTTCCAATTTCTCTAATCGGCTACTGCATGGATATCGCACATTATTTTTGAGTAACAAGTTGAAATAATGAATTTTGATATAATATATAAAAGTAGAATTTGAATATCTGCATCAAAGATTCAAATAATTATAAAAAATGGCATATTATAATTGAGTACCACATTATAATAATTTATTTAAACATTTATACATTTATAATGTGTGTGTCCACAGTCTTGAAAGCAATTGCGAGTTCATATATACATATAAATGATGTATATATGCATAATTAATAAATATGTAAAGCTATGTAAGTATACAAGATTTATATGTATACATAGGGCGTTTGGAAATAGACGAACTATTTGGTTGACATAGCGATATTTCTCTTTTAAAAACCTGGAACGCATTATTTGTAATAAAAGTTTTTCGCAAACAATTCTTGAAATGCAATCAATAAAAAAAAATATTTTTTAAAGTATGCCTTTCTCCTAATGCAAATAAATAATAAAATTTTAATTTTTAGTGAATTTTATATATATTTAGCTTTAACTATAAGTCTTGAATTTTAAGAATATGTATTATAAATAACTGAAATATTAATATTAATATTTAAACTTCAAAAGCTTATAATTATTTTTTAAAAAAATTTTTATGGAAAAAAGAAATTAATTTAGTTTCTAAAAAGGAATATCGTTTTGTTTGCCACATAAATGCACCTATTACCCAACATCCTGTACAATTCTATAAATACATATATATTTTCATACAGGTTGCCCGACAATTATTACCACTATATTTTTCTACAAATTCTCTGACTAATCTAGGATCAATTTTTTTTTTTTAACATAAGTGTCAATATATTAATAATGATAATTTGGGATTATAAAAATTATTCTATATTAGATTTATATTACTTACATTGTTGACAAATAAATAAAGGTTTAAAAATAAAAACAGATTTAAAAAAATATCTAATTTTTATAAATTAATTTTATTTTATATTAAAGAACTTTAATATTCAATTTTTTTTTAAATAGATTCCAGATTAATCAATGAATATGTAGGTGAAAAAATGGCGGGATATCCTGTATAAGTATATGCGTATACAAGATGTCATTAGAACGCCCGACTAAGAATAAACTTTGGAGGTACATTTCTCATGTCAAAATGATGAAAATATCTTGTAAAAAGAAACGGCCTCACAATATATACGTTTATTATAATTTTAATGATATCTGAAAAGTTTCCGAGAATAATTCGGAAAACAGAGAGCGTTTCTCGAGCCTCTATAGAATCGTAAAATAAAATATTTTCATCTTTTTCCTAGATAAAGCATTTTGAAACTTAGACATTAAAAATAATAGGTTATTCTGCTTGTGAGAAATCTCTCGTAAATACAGAGTCTTGAGTTTATACGCTTTATAATTGCTTTATGCCTTCCAACGCATATAGATCATGTCATAATTTCTCTCTCGCGACAAGCGATTCGCAGTGCATATTTCTAGCCATAAATATAGCCGCAATCGTACTATTTTAGGCCAGGGAGCACGTTGACTTTTTATTATTTATCTATATTATACGGTGGTCACGTGGCCGACACTCTTACGAAGTCTGATTTCAACTACCTCACGATTGCTTCGTGCAATCCCCCTCCCGCTCTTCAAGTAATGGGCGACTCTTATCAATATTGGGAATGAAAATAGACTAACACATACAACGCTGAAATTGACTGATAATGTGTCTTGATAATGGAGTGATTATTACGCTATGTGACTAATAATTTTTTTTCGTTGCTTTTCCACACTAACTATTCCGTTTCTTATATTTTCAATTAGTATATTACTATTTTTTTCATTTCCCATTTATTATCGAGTGCTTTAATAATACTGGAGATCGACCACTTTGATTTTCATTCCCAATAAAACATCATACATTCGATTAAAACAATTGCTTGATCGTGCGCAATTAAATAGAGCGCGAAACGAATTTGTTCGTAAAACTAAAATAAATTAAGTACAAATATTACACGAATACTACTGACGCTAGGACGGAAGCATTTGGACGATCGATGATGCTCAAGTCAATAAAAATTAAGTTTACAAGATGTAAAATCTACAGCATGTAACAACATATACGCTGTGCATCGATACAATTAAACACTTGAGGCGGGAAAAGTAAGCATAAAATTTATCAAGTTAGAGATAGCAAATCCTATTACAAAGATAAGAAATCATAAAGTTTTTCTCAAAATCTATATATTTCTACATCTACAATTTAAATCTAAAATTCATTAAGTTTTCAACGCTAATACTACACTGTCATGATCACTGTTTCAAATAAAAAAGGACAGTGCACATTGCACGTAATTATTGAAATTATTGATGCGGTGCCCAATCGCAAGATCTTTTGGAAAAATTAATAAAATCACCGTTCCATGACGTAATCATCTTCGATCGTCCATTCGCCGTGTCAACGACCTCTCGTCGTGCAAAATCGATTAATAATAAATACTGACTTACGTCAAATTGCTCGTCTATCTAATGTGCTACTTTTGGGAGACATCGCCGCGCTATGCGCCACATAATCTTACACAATCTCATTATGAATTACATTTTTCTCCGAATGCTATGACGTCGTAACACGATGCAATCGGATGCCACACCGAACATAAACGATTATCGCATTCTCGAGATCGAAAGTTTTACCTACATATATGTATATACAGGGAGTTTATCAGACACCCTGTATATCGATTAATCGTCGGATGTCAAAGGATATTATAAATGTGCGTCTTTTAGAATAAAGACGCATTTCTCATTTATCTCGAAAAAGTAAAGAATTATATAATGTGAAAATTATGTGTAGAATATAAAAGATTCAAGTCGTTGTTCATTCTGCACCAACCATAAAATTCCATAAAATTATAATGAGATGTGAGATCTTATATTTTTTCGATTATACATATCTGCTTCTCAATTTATGATAGTAAGATCAAAATTATATTTTTCCGTAGCTTATTGTATTTCATCGAAATATCAATCGATAAAAAATGTTACTTTTATTTATTGGATCGTGTGATATTTATCATTGACATATAGAGGAATATATTTCGTAAAATGTGTTGAATGATCATTAATAGGATTGAATTTGTTGATGATTTTAAAATCTTTTTTTTTCTTTTTTTTTCTTTTTATAATGAAATTTTAGTTGGTATCATCATCGTTATACTTAATATTTTATCGCTAAATATTTTGACATGATAAAGCCTCTAATAATATCTATCGTCTTAAAAACATCTACATTTTATTATTCGAATAACCGAAATTAATCGAATAACCAAAAAGATTCTGTTTATATTGTTAAAGATATTTCCTTTTTAAATCATACATTTTTAATAATTTAATAATTTTAATTTTTAATGCATATAAAAAAATATATATGCATGAAAAAACGTATTATTTGAATTTTTATTGAAGAAATATTCGATTCCAAAATCATCAATATGTAAATACGTTTCTAGTATTGAGATTTAACGATATCTTTCTTATACATCCACGTGAAACGTGTGCGAAAATTTTTATCTTGACAAAAATTTTAGTGTCGCGCTCCTATTAATGTGTAATGCAAAAGATTGCTGTTCGTTTTCCGAATTCTCAAAAGTGTCTCTCGTATAACGGGTGTCTTATGAATATTATCACACGCGTTTTACATGGTCGTTCGCGTATTCTATTTTTCATCCTATATAACTTTTCTATGTTATGAGACTACATGATAGATATATATCTAGAAATGCGTCATATATCCGTTAGCTTGAGAGGATCAGATCTGTTAATGAACGGAAGAACGACATCGCCAGTAGTTCTCTCGGAATGAACGACGCGAGATCTTTTTGTTTAGACCATATTTCTTATATTTATCTCTCACCTTAAAAGATTTTAGAGAGTTAGAGTAAATGCGCCTTTTACGTCAAGCGATTCCTACGAGTTTCTCTAACGAGCTTTTGCTCGTGCATTTCTTCGAGAATCCTGAATAAGATATGTTTTTATCGAAGTGTATTTTGATATGATTTTCTCTTTTCTCTTCCTTTTTTTTCTGCTTTTAAATAAAGCGACTAAAGTACGCGACGTTTCGCGTCTCGTTAGACTTTCCTCCATCCCGAGTTGAGTCTCGCGTAGGCTCTCTTTTAATCTGTCTGTCAGAAACGAATGCATCGCGGCATCGATGTCGATCTTCAAACTCACGGTCTCGCCATTTCTCGTGGCCTTCGTGAGGGATGAGTACCTAAATTTCTAGACTGTAGGATCATTGCTGTCATCTATCGCTAATGAACGTCGTTTCTCGAAGTACGAAAACGCTAAAGCTACGACAACGGTAAAGGATGTAGGCCATATGGGGATTTGGCGCGATCATCACCCGCTTTTGTATCTTCGTCCGCCAGGTCGACCCCATAGTTGCTCGAGGTATTGTCTTCTTCTGCAACGAATGTATATTTGACATATTTGACAAATATTTAATTAAAACATTGTTGGTTTTGAAAATTTTTTGTTTGGTATTTATTTAATATTCGTAAGATCAATACGCATTTCGGCCAACATATTAAGCGTCATTCTGATTGGAATCTTTTATATTTTGGCTAAAATTATTGTTTATCGTGCAGAGAAAGGAATAAATCGAAATATTGCAATGGAGAAATAGGATTAAGTGTCATCGATAATTGACAATTTTTTTTTCAATTGCAAAAAATGCTTTTTACAATTTAAACTTAAAACATTATCACTCTACAAGAACATTGCACTTTTATCACATTTAAAAAAAAATACGTATTAAATAGTCACCCGACAATTACGTTCTCGGATTCGACTATTAATACAATAATAAAATATTGACTTTAATATTCCATAAATTAGTCGTGAAATTAGTATGCAGAATGCTGCCAAAAAAATGCATATATCACTTGCAATAAACAAATCGTAACTACTATATATGTCGAGATAAAGTGTGAATTATTCGTATAAAACGCACACTGAAAGCATCATGAATGGAAACGGAACTATCTCTCTTCCTGTTTCCATACAACGTGCAACAGGTTTCTGCGTGTACGCAATCTAACAGAGACTGCGGGATGGAAAGTTTAGTATTATTGTCAGTATAAGTGTAATGTGTGAAGTAAAATCCTTTATTTATAAATTTGATCATTTTAATTATGCGATGGCGAAGCATTTCAAAGAGAAAAGAAATTAATATCAAATCTTTACTTATTATTTATTACCGCATTATTTATTCGCACTTGATATAACAAAATCGTTAAGAAGCAGGTATCAACATTCATTATGTTCAATATTTATGCGTATGAGTAGTCGTTAAAAGAATTTATCAATGAGTATTTAATTAGATTGACTAGAGGAACGATTGTTGAATTCTAGAAATTCACGTCTTCTTTCCCTTCTCGCGAACGAATGCGTTTAATATAGTCACGTGTAGACGCGTATCTGATATGATTCGCGCACGAGAGCAACATAAATTCCACGTTGTATTATAATGAGAAATTACATCGGTGCTCGCAAATTATCAACGCAGAAATAATAATTATCAACGCAGAAAAATAAGTAAATCACTAAAATAGCGCATACACATACATATATA